ATCTTAAATCTAGAATCTCAATGCTCTCCCTAGCTCCATCCTCCATAAAATACAATTCATCTAAAATTCTGCAGCCGGTATTCTCTGTACCTAACTGCGCACATCCATTTTTCCCATCCTCAGCAGACAATACTGGCTTCAAGTTCCCCAGTGAATCAATATCAAGATCCTTGTCCTGACCTTCAGTGCTTCAAAATGTTTTCCATCCCTATCCCTGCAATCTCATGGAGTCCTGTAGCGTAGTAGTTAGCACACTCGCAAGCGAGAGGACCCAAGTTCAATTCCCAGGTGGCAGATCACTTTTCGGGGGTAATAATCCATAAAAAAAAAATTTCACTCATTCCATGACTGTTTGTGGGACACTGCTGTGTGTAATTGGCTGCCATGTTTCGCCCACAAAATACACAGTCAATCAATTTTACAATATATTCTGTGAAGCCCTTGAAGACTGCCCAAGGATGTGATAAGGCGCTATATCAAATACAAGGATTATTATTATTAATATCTCCTCAAAGCCTATGTGCCTACCCTCACCCTTTACTTGTCTGACTCTGGTCAGTGCCTTATTCTCTTGTCATATCATCTGTGGCTAAGCCTTCAGTCATCATGCGACCACTTTCTGGAACTCGCTCTCCAAATTCCTTCTCTTTAAAGCATTATTTTAACAACCTTTGATCAATTCCCCTTCCTTTACCCCTATTCAGACACGCCACAGTTTTTGTCAGTACTGTACTTCAATGCATTATTCATCCTATGTGAAGGTACAAGAACAAGTTGTTCTGTCCAAAAGACAATAGAGTTCATTTTGCGATAGCATTTCTTAATTAAGAAATTATCCAAACTCGTGCAACAAGCAATGTAATACGGACTCATGAGAATCCTCCAACTCAATCTATTTTCAGAGCGAGTTCTAACGAGTTGGCCTATTCTGGTTACTAAACAAAAGTCAAGTTAAGAAATATGGGAAAAATTGACCCTAATATTTAAGTCTTAATGAGTAAACTGTCCTTCAATTAGAGTAGCTATCGAGCAACACTAGCAAATGCTAGTAAAAAAAAACACAAGCAAAGAGAATAGATGAAATTTAACATTACAGGCCATTTAGAAGCAACCTTAAATAATCTATTGAATCAAGTCTGGAAATAGTAAAATCCAAGAGCCAACAATCAGCCAACACCAAGCTTGATTACATGCTGAATGCACCGTACCGTTTGTAACCTTTTATCCCCTTCTGAAAAACTGGGAATATTGCTATACATAGAATATTGTTATATACATTATCCACTTTCTAATCCTTTTAACCCAATGTTAACAACAGTTCCACACTTATGTCGATGGAGGGACTGTAGGTTGGACAACTGTACTTCCCTACCATATACAGTCACAACATAACCATAATTCTGTGAAGTGCTTTTCGATCTTATAGGTGCTATAAGGAAGTAAGTTATTCCTTTCTAAAGATCCTTATTAATTTTAATGTAGATTTAGGACATGGAAATGGACAAAACCTCCAAGTTTACAGAAGATAATAAAATGGGAGGAGGAGTAAATAACTGAATAACGCAACTAGATGTCTCATTTTGTTTAGGTAACTAGGCCAATGGGTGGCGGATGCAGTTCAATTATTTTTAATTAGCTAAAGGGTCAAAGTCCATAGTTCAGGACATGTTGAAAATGTCTGAAAGAAAACTAAAAAAAGTCAACTAAAGCTTGTCAACTAAAATCAGTAGTTATTTGACAAGCTTGGATTATATAAAAGACTACACATTTCTTAGGGAAAGGAAGACTGAGGGAGAGATGGAATTGTACTGTAAAAGTTGTATAAGTCTGAGCTGTCTAAATTGCCTAAGTTGTACATCTGCCAAGGTTCTGTTCAAGAGTTTATATGCTATGCAAGTTTGACAAAACTCATACTTTGCATACGTAATTCTAAATATATGTTCCCAACTGATACGCCTTATGTGATGTTTACAGTACAAGCTAGAGATCCTGAGAAAGAATGAGTTAGAATAGGAGGCACTATGATGAATCTTGATTTCAACAGAGTGAGGTGGCAAGGAGGAAGAAGCATTTGATAGCAATTTTGGAACCGTGGAAGAATAAGATACAGATAAGAGTAAAACTCTGAAAGTCACCAAAAATTGCACCATTTACATGAGTAGTGCACTATTCACTATTCAAATGGAATGAACCAAGAATTTCATTTATTGATCAGACTGAGAAAGTGTCTCCTGTAAAATTCACTTTCTACCAAATTACTCACAAAATTGGGTGAATATCTATTCCACACACAGAGCAATGGTTCTCAATGTACATTAATTAGTGTGGAATTATGCTCCTCCATAGTCCCTTGAAGGCTGCCAGGTTTTGAATAACATTAAACGACGATACGATTTTGGAGTACTAGTCATTTGCTAAACAGCACATGTTCTCAGACCTCTATTCCTGAGTGTCAAGGTTTTTTTTTAACAAGGCAATAAGGAGCTGGTATTAAAAAGGAATTTCTCTCTCATCACTCTGTTAATGTCCTTCTTCTCCAAAATCATCCTGGAGACCAAGGACAACCCCAGGCTCTTCTTCTGCACCACAAACCAGCTCCTCCACCCACCTTCCCGTGTCTCACCAATCCTCTCCTCCAACTCCAAATGTGATGAGATATAGACTTGGTTGCGTCCAAAATGTGCACTCGGTACCGCAATTCCCAGCCCCACCTACTCTTGGCTCCCTCTCATCACTTTGCTATTTCCTCCTCCATCTATCCCTCCCTCCACATTTTTGACCCCATCTCCCCCCTCATCTCTCACTTACATCATTTACCAAATGAAGCCCACCACCTGCTTCCTTAACCCCATCCCTACTTACCTCCCACTCCACCTACTTGTTCCCCTAACGAACAGACATCATGAACCTCTCTCTGGCCAATGGCTCTGTTCCCATCCCCTAAAAACACCCATCTTGGCTCCCACTCTCAATTCAACTTCCCTTGGCCAAACTCTGTTCTCCAACAACTATTCCATCTCCAACCTCCCTTTTCTTTCCAAGGTCCTGGAACATGTCATTGCTTCCCAAGATTTGCTCTTTCCTCTCCTCCTGCATGAACCCCTCTGATTTCCATGCTGCCCACAGTACAGAGACAGCCTTAGTCAAAGTTACAAATGACATTCTGTCCATCTGTGACCAGGACTCCCTCTGCTTCCTTATCCTTCTCGATCTCTCTGCTGCCTTCGACATTGTTGACCATGCTAAATGCAATTTGCTATTATTATTTCTTCATAATCTAGCAGTTTGCATACTGGGATGTTTCTGCAGCAAACAAGGGAGTATGAAATGCTGACAGTATTGCATGGAGGTGATGTGGTCAACGATCAATGAAGCACTCTGCACGTATCCTTTTCCTGCTGGTACAACACATTTGTTTTTTACTTACGTGTTCAATTTTTCATTGCGCATATGAAGTTAGGGAATGGAATCACTTTTTCAATGTCATTATCAAGCTTTGCCAGGGCAGGTGTACTATGGCTGGATGCAGATTAAACTTTAAATCCACAGAAACTTCTGCTACTGCCTCAACACAATCTTTTCTACTTCTATCATCACCTGCTTTTGTGGCTTCTCTGTACCATATTGAAAATGTTGTGCAACTTGATGAATTGTACAGGGAGGAATAACAGCAGGAAGCATACTAGTGCTCTGTAATGGTAGGTTGCACAGTTTAAGATGGTTGAATTCCAGTAGTACCCTGTTACACACTCTGGAATCCCTAACGCTTGGTTCTTGCCAATTTGCACCTAAGGTTCTCCAATTTGGTAAACAGGCTGCATCCTTTCGTGGAGATAATCCTTTAGGAGGCAAATAAGTGGGATATCCTTGAAGCAAAGCACTTCACAGGGTATACCATAAAGTGGATTCAATCTATTTTGTGGGCAATAATCCTTGCATTTGATATAACAAGAAGAAGATTACATTTGTATAGCGCCTTTCACATCAGGAGGACGTCCCAAGGCGCTGGACAGAGTGCAGCATTTCAGACCCGAGCTGGGGTCGGGGGGTGACCGATGGCATGGTCGAAGAGGAGGGTTTTGAGGCGGGATTTGAAGGAGGCTAAGGAGGGGGCGAGGCGGATATATATAAAAATATAACACCTTTAGTGCAGGGAGGATGTCATTAAGTGCTTTACAGTATTCATTGCAAAGTGTGGTTTTGTGTTTCCCAGGAGTAGATGCAATTTCATAAAATAGATGAACCAGAGTGGTGGTTGGGGGGTGAGGGAGGGGGAGGGAGTGGAGTTACAGGGATAACAGAGGAGAAGCTGCTGGAGTATAGGCGAGTGTCAGGTGCATAGACTGGAAGCAAAGGTCAGAATTGTGAGAGAAATCGTGAACTCTGATATGAGTGAATGAGAGCGTCGGGCGGGTTGAGCAGTTGGCTGGTGAGATCGGCGGGGAAAGCTACCGAAAGAGCTGGAAGTAAATCTGCGGGGACCCTGCCATTGCCCGAAAGGGTCGGATGCAGATACACCAGTCAGAGCGGGAGAATAACCGAGAGACACGGTCGTAGCCGAGACGTGCACAAGCACATCGCGGTACGACTTAAGAGCAACCGCATGCGGGGGGGAGGGGGGGGGGGAGGGTGCTGAGAGTGAGCACACACTCACACTCACACACACACTCACACTCACACACTGAGCTCGGGGACACCCACAGTGTGCATGTGTGGCTGGTGTTAAGGCGGGGACCTGTTCTTTCCAGATGCTTTATTGCAAGTTGATGGAGGAGGGGGTGGGGGGGGGGGGGGGAGGAGGGAGGTTTTGCTGACAGTCAGAGAAGGGGAGCGGTTGCATAACCGCCCGCTGGTATGGCGACACGGGTTAACCAGCGGGTTCGCGAAGCCGTGTGTGTGTCTCTTCTTTTTTTTGCTCTCAACTTCATCAATAATTAATCGGTTTGAAAGCACCGAGAGCTGCGCGCACAAGGAGCGGGCGAGCGAGTGTGTGTGTGTGTGTGAGTGTGTGTGTGTGTCTTTTGCAAAGCAACTTGAGGAGAGCCCATCATCGCTGAATCATGTCACAGGCTGACATGTCAGGACTTGAGGGGGAGGAAGAGAGAGGAGGAGGAGGAGGAGGATGGAGAGGTTGACCCCGAGAGGCTTGTGTGTGTCGGTCACCAGTTGCCTGCTGCTGCTGTCCGCCCTGAGCGCCCTGGCCGTGGGGCTCAAGTCGTGTCTGCTCGGGGCGGCGCTGAAGGAGCGCTTCCAGGTGGGCAGCACGGCGGGGGCTTTCTGCTCGGGGGCTTTCACCTGCGCGGGCTGCCTGGCGGTGGGCGCCTCCGCCCTGTCCAGCAGGAGGGCTCGGGGGGAGAGCGCCCTGCTGCTGGGGGTGCTGCTCTTCATGCTCGGCACCCTGACCGCCCTGGCCGGGGCGCTCATCGACGGGGACACCATCGCCACGGTGGAGAGGAAGTACTCGCGGCACTGCCTGCGGGAGCCGCGGGGGCCCCGGCAGCAGCAGCCCCGGCTGGAGGCGAGCGAGCAGCCCGACTGCCAGAAGCTGAGGGACTACGAGAGGATTTTGCTGGTGTCGGCGGTGCTGAACGCCCTGGAGTGTGTGCTGGGCTTCATCACCCTGACGCTCATCAGGCAGTACAAGTCCTGGCAGCCTCCCCGCCAGCAGCGGCACCAGCAGCACCACCAGCAGCAGCACCAGCAGCAGCGGCGCAGCGCCGGCTCCATCCTCTCCACCGAGGAGCAGCTCTTCCCCATGCACACCTACCCGGGGCCGCCCTTCCCTCCATCCGCCGCCAACGCCGCCGCCTCGTCCTCCTACATCAACTTCGGCGCCGACGAGGCGGGCGGGGAGCGCGGCTGCAGCGGCCACCCGTCCCGGGAGCTGCCCGGCTACTCCCTGCCCGGCCCGGACACCCCGCGCCTCTGCCTGTACCCGCCCCGCGGACACCCCCCCCCGGCACAGCGGCCCCCGCCGCCGCCCTACGAGCACCTGTTCCCCAGGGCGAGCGGCTTGTAATCAGGGGGCGGGGGGGAGGGTGGGGGTAGGGCCCCCCCCCACCCGGGGGGGGAGGGGGGGGTAGGGGGGGGGGGCGGGGGGACGACGACCAGGCTTTGCGAATAAGGTTGTCCGCGCGTCAAGAGAGCAGAGCTGCTGCACAATAAACTCTGGACACTCCGACCAGACCCTCACCCCTCCTGTCCTCTCCTCTCCTCTCCTGTCCTCTCCTCTCCTCTCCTGTCCTGTCCTCTCCTCCTGTCCTGTCCTGTCCTCTCCTCTCCTCTCCTGTCCTGTCCTGTCCTCTCCTGTCCTCTCCTGTCCTGTCCTGCCCTGTCCTGTCCTGTCCTGTCCTCTCCTCTCCTGTCCTGTCCTGTCCTGTCCTCTCCTCTCCTCTCCTCTCCTGTCCTCTCCTCTCCTCTCCTGTCCTCTCCTGTCCTGTCCTGTCCTCTCCTGTCCTCTCCTGTCCTGTCCTGTCCTCTCCTCTCCTCTCCTCTCCTGTCCTCTCCTGTCCTGTCCTCTCCTGTCCTGTCCTGTCCTGTCCTGTCCTCTCCTGTCCTGTCCTGTCCTGTCCTGCCCTCTCCTCTCCTGTCCTGTCCTGTCCTCCCCTCTCCAGCCACAGGACCAATGTTGTCACCTGGGGACCAGCAAAGGGTCAGAGCAAAGCACTCACTCACTGACTGACTCCCAGTGCCGGGACTGCCTCGACTTCTTCCTATTTTATAGTCGGTATTATTAATGGCGTTTGGCAAAAAAAAAAAACCCACCATCACCACCACCACCACCACCAACAACAACAACAACAACAACAACCCGCAGGGGATAATGTGTGGAAAAACAATTGTGCAGAAGGTACTGATCCCCCAAACCAGACACACACACACAGACTGCGTGTGTTGCCGTGAGCGAGGACTGGCTTTCGTTTAATAAGCGATCACTGAGCTGTATAACTCGTTGTGGGGGTTATTTATTTAGTCGTTTTTTTTATTTATGTTTTTGCTGCCGACGATGATATTGATGTGTTTTATTCCACCATCCGGGAATATGATATCCGCTGCGATAATAAGTTACTGCAACGGCTTCGGTTTGGTTTCTTTACAATAAACATTCACACTCACTCACTCACTCACTCACACACACTACACACACACACACACACAACTCATACACACTTACACACACTCACACTCACTCACACACACACTCACACTCAGTGATGCTGCCCGGTACTGTGGCAGGTTGGAAAGGGAAGGCAGGGAGGGCACCTGCTCCAGTCATGGACTTGCCCTTGGCCTGTCAGTGTGTGTGTGTGTGGGGTGGGGGGGTGGGGGTGGGGTGGGGGGCTTCCTGCACTTTACTGTGAGCGTGTAAAGCCTTGTGCCTGTGGCACTGCACACCTCTGATCAGGACAGGTAACTCTGGTCACCGCTGCAGCCTGTGCTCCCTCCCCTACACTGACAGTGCTCCGTGTGTACTTCTATATGACATCTGGTCTGTCTTTAACATGCGGTCAAACCATGCGCCTTGATGTGATATTGTGTTGCTCGGTGGAGGAGCAAACTAAGGTTGGGCAAGGCAATTCTTAGGCAAGTTTGGTTATTCCACACGCCTCTGTTTCCCCAGCAATAAGTAGGAGCTCGGTTTTTGGTCGATTGGCGGATCACTTTGCAGCAGTAATTATTAATAATGGATCCAGAGAAAAAAAATTGGGTCCCTCCACGACTTTGTGGGACACTGCTGTAGGCAATTGGCTGCTGTGTTTTGCTCACAAAATGCTCAGTGAACCCACTTTACAGTGTATTCTGTGAAGCGCTTTGAGACATCTCAATGACGTGATAAGGCGCTATATCAAATGCAAGGATTATTATTATTTTTAATCACGCTACATTGGGATTCCCCCCTTATTTAAATATCCTGATAGAGAAAGATATAAATGTAAAGATATCTAGGACAGGATTGCAAGAGGCATTGAGATTATTGGGCTGTGCATTTTGGCTTTTCTTTCCACGCACTCCGGATACTTTTTAGCAAATGAAAAATCTGAGTTTTGAAAAGGACACAAAACATACTGTAATGAATAGATGACAACAGTAAAATGGGAGATTGGGAAGAAAAGCTGGTGTCTATTACAGAGTGTCATGCACACTGAATGGGCTCTGTGGAATGTTATTTTTATCTCAGTAAGAATGTAATCCTCCCCTTTAACCCTAATGCTATTCCCCCTTTCTTCCTTCCCTTCCTTTTGCCCCCCCTCTTATGTATTTTTACCAGACTCAAACAGCAGTCAGATAATCATTTCTTAATCCTGTGCCACTCTATGATCACTCATGTACTGTGGGATTTGCATGGCTTTTTCTTGGCTGCTGGGTATGTATAGGAGGTTGTGGCTGTGAACTCAAATCCTACCAGTCTTTGATGTGGTACTTTAGTGGGTTTTTACAGTAGCTCACTGTATCACTAGAACATGTGTAAAATGATTTAACCAGAGCAAGGTCCAATGTAAGTAAAAAGCATTTTAACATTGTCCATAGTCATGTGCGGGAGATAGATTGTTAACCATTATTAAAAGCAACCGGAGCAAAAATAAGGATTAAACATTTGTTATTGACCACAGATGGTTAAATGTTACTTTGAAAATGTAGTATTTGTTTACCTTCTGAACTGGACTCCCTGATACAAAGGATGTCTTTTAAACGCAAATCTTGTCATCAAATTATTTCCAGACTGTGAAGGAGGTAGCAATATGTGAAACTCAGGTGACATGAAGGCATGGATGTTCTCGAGTGTCTGAATGTATTACATGTGGATACATGCTGGGGCTAGGAGACGATGCATGTACATTCTGGAACACTTCAGAATTGTGTAATTTCAGAATTAGGGCTTTGAATTCATAGAAAGATTGATGGATGTAAGGATTCCCTCTGAAACCACACACTCTGCATACTGGGTACGTTTTTTCAGTTCAAAGTGCCAAAGTGCTTTACCCATCTTTTATTAATTATATTGCCAGCAGCAAAATAACTGATGATGTAGAGGGGACACTTACAAGCAGCACTGGATGAACGCAGTGCATCATTTCACCGTTGGCGTCATTTGAATCAATTTTAATGGGACATAAATTACCGTTGAAACAACAACAACAAAATTACATATTTTAGAGCGCCTTTAGAGGATGTCCCAAGGCGCTGAAAGTATGGCTATCACCTTAAGAATGATACATATAGTAAAAACCATTTATATAAACCAATGATGAGCAATACTGCACACATCTAAAATAAAAAAACTTAACAGATGGTCCTGATGTAGACGGATAAGAGAATCATAGAAACAGTACAGAGGAGGCTTGTCATTTGGCTCATCACGTCTGCACTGGAACTAATTCCGCCACTGAAGCTATCTACTGTGAATCCCATCATTCTCCTGCTCTTTTTCCATACTCTTTAATAGTATGAATGTAACAATTGGAATTTACTAATCCTAGAAAAGATACTGTCTTCTGAGAAACAAGAGTCAGGATACAAGCAGCAATGAAGATGTATGAAGTCAGGCAACACACAATGGGATGAGTCTAGTCCTGTGGCGGCCAATATTTTTGGTTGGGCAACAAAATACATTTTCTTGACTGAATATTTATTGATTTATGCAATAAATCCAACAATATACGATCAAGAAAAACCTGGAAACACACAACTGATCAAACAGGGACTTACCTAGACTTGTGCAAATGTTCGGGGGGAGAGGGGCTGGGGTGGGGGAGTGGGGCGCCTCTTGATAGCCCTGTGGATTGAAACCAACTCACGGGTTGTAGTTTGGCCAACACTGGTCTCGGGGGCGGGGGTTAGAAGTTCCTGTGTCTAGATTTACTCTCTTTATACAGCATTTCAGACTGTCCAGAATTTGTCAAGTTATTAAATACAGCCTTAATGTTGAAGCTATTTTCCTGCAAGTTCTTTTGAGAACTAGAGAAAACCTGGCTTGAAAGTTAAGACTGAATTCAATGATTTGCTGAATTGTGGATGCTCTAAAATACTTTGTTAACACAGTAAAGCTCGTCCAAGGTGATATTTCTACCCTCTATAAGTTATCATCAGATTTGTTTCAATGCTGTGATTTCATGTCTGTGCTTCAATACAAAGTATGACCATCAGTCTAATCATGCATGAGCTTAATATATGAGCTCAGTGCAACCAAGAGATGATCCTAGGCCAGTGGTGGTCAGTCCCGTAGCTCAGTGGTTAGAGCACTTGCCTCACAAGCAGATGGGGTGGGTTCCATTCCCAGCAGGGCGAATCGTTGGGCAAGTTTCCTTACTCCACATGCCTCTGTTCACTAAGCAGTAAGTAGGAGCCTGGTTGTTAGTCGATTGGTGGATCACTCTTTCGGGGTAATAGTCCCTTAACATTTTTTTAATTAATTTGGTTACTCAATCCACGACTGTCTGTGGGACACTGCTGTGTGTAATTGCCTGCCTTGTTTCACCCACAAAGTGTAGGGTCAGTTCACTTTACAGTATATTCTGTGAGGCTCTTTGAAATGTCTTGAAGATGTGATGAGGCACTATATCAAATGCAAGGATTATTATTATTATTATATCAAATGCAAGAATTATAATTATTATTGGTATCATGTATGTATAAGTTGCGGAGCTGACTGTCTTACAATGTGTTTTTAAAGCCTCAATTGTTGATCACATTCTTTGCTGTGCGGTTTCCAAAGAGGCAGCCAAAAAACTCTGAACAGAAGTGAGTCACCTCAGATACGTTTCAAGGGAATACTGAAGTGCCTTAGATGCATGTAATCGTTTCCAGAATATTCAGTGGAAAATAAGAGTTTAGAATAAATATTTCAAAAAGTGCATGAGGTACACAGTGTCCATCAGACAGGATGTTTACAGCATATGAAGCAATTGCCAAATGTTTTGTATGAACTGTCTCTTTGTCTTGCAAAGACAATAATTAGGGAAATGGGGAACAATTTGCACCCAGGACAGCATGGAGAGGAAGGCAATTACATTATATTTT